AGGCGTGGAACCATAGTTTTGACGTTTTTTCGACTTTTTTTGGTGTATTTTTTTTACTTTTTCGAGCTGTGGTCTACAGTTGACTTTTTTTCGACTTTTTTTTGACTTTTCTTGAATCCAGTAATCCGCCAAGGCGAGGAGCCACAGTTTTGACTTTTTTTACGTGTTTTTCTTCGATTTTTTTAGTTTTTTTTTACTTATTTTTTTGCCTTTTTCGAGCTGTGGTCTATGGTTGTTTTTTTTACTTTTTTTGACTTTTCAATTTGACGGTTTTTTTTAAAAAACTTAGACTTTTCCAGTTGATTTTTTTTGACTTGTTTTTTTAAATCACGGATTCTGGCCTTACCATATGAAAGTTTTAATAAAACTAGCTAAGAACCTGTGAACATGACGATCACATTGAAGGGTCCTTGCAGGAACAGGTGGTGAATGGTTGATGGGCTTTCCTCGGACAAGCCCACCAAATAGTTCAGCTCATGTGTGAGTCACTCATGTTTGAGGATGATCTCACTACCTTCAACATCCCACCGACACATCTCGCAAACTTCCAACGGTCCTTCAGCACATCCCGAAGCCCCGAACCCCCAGCAGAAAAGATCAACATCAACATTGCTTAGAGTTAAACATGTTTGTTCTCACATGTTTGATGATTTCTTGGATGAGACGCGGTTATTGGCCCTTGCGCCCGAGGCCCTGACTTCCCCATCTCTGGATCTACCGTTTGTGCTTCGGCCCCTGGGCATCAAGTGCAAACGACCACGCTGGCAGCGCTTCCGGAACGGCACGTGGCAGAGCTTTTTCGCAGCAAAAGCGCTGCTGAGACGGAATGACTTAGCGCCCCAAGTGCTGAGCCAACAGTGGCCGCAGGCCAGGATTGGGGTCCTTCAGAGACGCTGAGGATTGAGGGGTGTGAGTGGGTGTTCCTCTACACCCAGGAGTAAGGCAGACAGCCTCCTAGTTACGTACACTGAGTAAACAGCAATGCTTGCAATTTCAAGTCCTTTCCCTTCTCGAAGATGTGCAAGCATCAAGCCCCAACTCCAGTGAAACTGGGCTCCTTTGGACTTGGTATTTCTTTCGATGCACCGGACCCCTCAGGTGAGGCACTTCCTCCGGCGTGGCCTGGAGCAGTGGCTGACCAACGCGTCGACCGGCGCACGGAGCGTCCGCGAGGACTGGCCGGTGCTGCAGCGGAGGCTGATGATGTGCCTCGGTACCGACGGAGGGTGAAACGGTCAGTTGAAACGGCAGAACTGAGGCAGACATGGTATCGAAAAGGATGTCTAGAACTGAGCATAGCCTCGCAGAAGGGTAGCAACCTTTCATAACCGCTATGGCAGCTACGGTATCAATGGACCATTGTTTCGCAGCTCTCATGTCCACTTTAGAACCTTGACAAGTCATAGACGAGATGAAGAGATGTGGATCCAAACCAAGGTGATACGCTGACTCTTGGCGTTCCCCAGTGACTCACCTGACATCTCAGTCGTTTTTGACCGACCGACGGGGAAAAACCGTCTTCAGGGCCATCCAGCTCGACGCGGACGTCAACGTGCTGCGGCCGTTGTTGAGCCCAGCGTCCGAGAACGGCGTGGTCGGAGCATTGGCCTGCGAAGCGCTGGAGCACTGGCTGGCCGCTGGCGTGGAGGTCAGTGATGTGGCTGTTGGATCTGTTGGGCGTGGTTTCCTTTTGGTTTGGACTACTGTTAGAAAGAAATTAAAGTTTGCCAGACCAGGAGAGGATGATTGATGAAGGAGTTCTTCCAAGTTGTTTTGGTACCAAAATTCAAAGTAGATCATGTTCCGACTCATCAATCTCAATCAGTTTTTCTTGGAAAAATGCATTCACCAACGCTACGGGCTCCGAATCAGAGCTCACAAGCTTTCTTCTCCAAGAATGGTTCGAGCTTGTTCGGGGATGTTCAAGGGTTTTTTCTGCTTTTTGCTGTTGGCCAGTCGACGGTGAGACTCCTTGCATTGCCCAATCGGTTATATACTGTATCATAATTCCGGAAGTTCTTTTGGCTTTCTGACAGATCATTCGAACATCCTGAGGCTCAGAACAAGTGGAAAGGACGTCAGTAGTCGGTGAATGAGTGAGTGCGCGCCAGTCAGTCAGTCAGTCAGTCAGTCAGTCAGTCAGTCAGTCAGTCAG